CAAATATATAAATATGTTATTTATATAATATATATAAATAACATAAATATATATATTATTATTATTATTTTTAGGTGTGATTTCTACTCTCAAGGAGCTTATGATCTAGAGAGGAAACAAGCCAATACCTACGTTACATTTGGGAACTGATTGGAGTTCAGGAGAGAAAAAATGAAAGCTAAAACTCTTCCAGACTGCCTCTTGGTAGAGAGCTGCAATCTGTATTTCCATGCCCTGCTTCTTAGTACAGTTTCCTGAGTTATGTTTGAGAAAAGACTATGATACTTCCTGGAGGAACGAAGATAAAGGAATTTTGTAATTACACTGATAAATGTAGAGAAATCGGGTTCGATATACGTACAAATGGTAGGGGCACATTTGTAGTATAAAGTGGATTCTATAATGTGAACAGCCTGTGTCTGCATTGCTACAGGTAAAAGGCCTTTATAAGAAATCCTAATCTGTTTTCCTGGTAGGTATGTGCCGTAGCCTGGCCTTTGAAAACAATTGCAAAGGCAAGAAGATCCTTAGGGAAAAAAATCACTTAATGAAGGTCAAGTCAAGGAAAGCAGTGCAGCGAGGTGGACAGAAAGTGCCTTTGGCCCAGCAGAATGTGGAAACGGATCCCAGTACTTCAACTAACACGTAATCAGGTTACTCTCAGCCTCAGCTTCCTTGACTATAAACTAGGAAGACTTGTCCTGACCCTCTACTTCTTAGGGTGTAAAATAAGGTGTTTTTGAAGAAGTGTGGAGGTAGAAAAAGCTCATGTTCTATTATCCCTGAATTATCTAAGAAGAGGTTTGGGTTTTTCTGTTTTGATCTTATCTGCCACACACTGTCTCCTTACTCTAGCTTTCCTGTGTCTATCCTCAACTCTCAAAAGGCTGCCGCCCTTCATCTGTTCTCTCCTTTTTCCTTCCCACTTTTCCTCCCTTATGTTTGTTTTTCATCAGTATCAAAAGCTGTTGTCCGTGTTGTCTTCCCCAACTCCAGGCTCACCTGGCTGCTCTCACACTACAATAAGTCCTCACCGTCATCAATAGGTTCTTGGAACTGCAGCAAAACGACATATAATGAAACCAGTTTTACCATAAGCTAATTGATATAAGTAAAATTTAAGTTCCTAAGGCACCTCATCAATGTTATAACAAAACAAGGTTATTTGAGGACCTGCTGTAATCTCTTTCCTATCTGCTTCCTGGTAACCCATGTCACTCACTCAGAGAAAGCAAGGAAAGCTTGAAACAAAACAAAGTTGGCTACAAAAAGGGTCATAATCCAAGAAAGTGTCTTGGGGCAGATGGGACATTGCAGATGAAGCCCCCTTTTTGGATGTGTTGGGTGTGGTGTTAAGTGTAAAAGAGTAGGATTCCAAATAATCTCAAAGTGCAGACAATACTGACATAATATTGTGGGATGTGTTAACTAAAGGATCCTAGAGTCAATTCAGAGAACAACAAAATGTTGATCCTGGCAGGAGTCTTAAAAACATAGGCAAGTGGTTTCTAAAACAGGCAAGTCACAAGAACTTAACTACCTAGAGAGCTTTTTCTTAAACTAATAAATATACGATAAACAAAGGGCATACCACAAAATGTAAGTCTTCCTCCCACATCAGGCCCCACTCCCATTTCCCAAAAATAACACTTGCCCATCAATACTTGTATAGCCTTCCAAAATTATTACATATAAATACATCTGTAGTCAAAAAACAAAAACAACAAAACAAACTAGGACCACTTTCATACACCTTATTCTGTATCTTGTAAATACAGTAAAATACAGACATTTTCCAAATCTGTGGAAATTATAAATCAAGATTCTTTGGTTCCAAGCAACAGAAACCAATCTGGCTAACCAGCATAGAGTTTTATAAGTAAGATAAAGATTGAAGGGAAGATTGAAAAACCACCAGGCTTGAAAAAGACAAGAAAAAGGAAACTCCAGAAGTTCTCAGTAGGTAGAAATCCTTAAAAGATTTGCCCCAAACCTCCTACGTTTCTTCCATCATTACTGCTCAAAATTCGAAACCCAAAGGAGAGAAGTTTAAAGTCTTGTGTCCCCCCCATACTGGGGAGCAAGAGGTTTGGAACGGTTCCCCCAGAGACCCTTTCAACTTATATATTGGGAGGGCGATCATTTAGATTTGGTACTCCACTCCCACAAGAATGTACACACTGAGGGAGAGACCAGTCCACAAGAGAAATGGGGTACTGTTAGGAAATGGGAATGGACTTCAGCAGGCCAAAAAATGAAAAACACCTACCCCTGAGATTTAAGGACTTTAAGACCTGCCTCACTGCATATACTTTCATAGTCTTAACTATTCCCTAGTGATGAACAACTGAAGTGGTGAAGAAAAAAGAGAATAGAGGCCTATGAGGACAAGCTAAGAATAAGATACTTGAGGCTATAAATGGCCATGCCATGTTCTCATTCAGTAACCTCATTTTGAAGAAAAAAAAAAACTCTTGTATCTTGCCTATTGTTAGGGCACATGGTCGAAGCTCAGTAAACACATGTTCAGTTAGTGAGTGATTTTTGGTTGAAGAGAACTCCGTCCCTTTTTCTCTGGATCAGTATGGTGGAATGATGGCTTTGGCATTGAGAATAAGTAGTCTCCTAGCACCATCTGCTGGCATTGGGAAACCTTTCCAGAATCCTAGCCTGCAAAATCTTTTCAGCCAGTTTTGTTGATACCCCTCCCTAGTACTGTCTATACCACAGAACCTACCTTTTATCTGTTGATAGAGGAAGTTACAAAATATTGCCTTATTTTTGTTCCTTGTTTACTATATGATAGAAGTCTTACACTTTGGTGACTCTTCTGTTTTTGGCTCTTTACAAAGTAAGACACATGATGAGGTGCTGAAGAATAAGAATGAGCTTCACAGCACAGTCTGTGACCTTGAGGATTATGTTGTCCTTTGACATTTATTACCAAGTAGTGAATTCCGTGCATGGCACTATCTTTCTGATTGCACCAATTATGTAACATATCAATATGCCTTGAACTTAGTTAATAAGCCTCTGCTTATAAAGTGTCCATTGTTACGATAGGTGCTATAGAAGATAGAGAAGTATGAGACAAGTTCCCTGCCTCTCCAGCGGCCGTCTAATTAGGGAAACCAAATAGTACAGGATAATCTGTGGTGATGCCTGTAATTGCTGTTAAATAATGACACTGCCCTAGACCCTTACTGTGCTAGACATTTGGCAATGCCTGGAGACATTTTTGTCACAACGGGTGTGGATGCTACTGGCAGGTAGTGAGTATAAGTCTGAGATGCTGCTAAACATTCTATAATGCACAGGACAACCCCCCTCCCCCCCAACAAAGAATTATCTGGCCCAAAATGTCAATAGTGCTGAGCTTGAGAAACCTGTGCTAGACCTTTAGGATCAGTGATGAGCAAGGCAAGCATGGTCCCTCCTGCTCTCCTAATATCATGGGGAAGATGTTAAAAATATAATAATGTCTTGAAATTCATGGGAAGGAAAGCAGTTATTCCAGAGCTTTGCCACTCGATAGGCCTAAAGCATGGGCATCACTTTGAAGCGTGTTAAAAATGCAGAATATCGACCCAAACCCCCGACCCATCCCTTCCTGAATAAAAACCTGCATTTTAACAAGATCCTCAGGTAACTCATATGCACATTAATACTTGAAACACGATGCTCAGAAAAGACGGGACTTGAGTTGCTTTTTATTGTTTTATGAAGACCAAGAGAGAAGGAAACACATTCCAGGTGGTAAGAGACATATGACGGAAGGTTCTGCGATGGCAAGGAGGAATTTCTAGTTTTTGGTCTGGCACTAACAGTATTGACTGCTTACTGTCAGACTTTGTGCTAAGCGTTTTATATGGAGTAGCTCCATAACCATTTAACCCTTGTAAGGAAACAGCAACACTGTTAAAGTCTATTATTTCACCCAATTTATTGGTAAAGGAAACTAAGGTACAGATCAAGGGCCCACTGATGAAGCTGGGCGGATTGGGTCGGAGCTGCATTTTCTTACCATCCTAAGTCGTCCACAAACACCTCCACCCACACTTGAGAGCCAAAGCCATAGGCCCTCAGCTCTCTAACCAGCGAAAAGTCTACGGAGCCTGCCGGTGTTGCTTTCTGGAGTTGTGCAGCGGTGCGGAAGCCGGAGGAGAGGCGCCCATCCGCCACCGGAAGTTGTAGGTGCAGTGTGGGAAGCGTTTCATTGTTTATGAACCGGCTACCAGGTTCGTGAGAGTATAGCTTAAATGAAAAGGGCTGGGTTTTGAAGATGACGCAGCCTTGGAAATGGTATGAAGGATACTCCGTGCAACTTTTGCCAGGAACTGGGGTCACCAAGAGCTCAGTGGTTCACTGCTGCTAAGAGTGCGCTTGCTAGCCGGACGTCAGCTAGAAGAGACGTCTCTATGGTCAAGTAAACATAGAGCGGTCCCTCTTCCCCACGTGGTGGGAGTACGCATGAGCGGGAGCGGCAGCATTGGAAAGATGGCGGAGGAAGAGTGAGTGTTTTGGTCTTTGAATCTCTAGAGTGGGGCCTTGAGCATCCAGTGCCATCCACGGTGTTTATCGGTGGCAGAAAATAAGGATACTTATGGACCGAAGGAAAAAGCACAGAAAGGCTCCAGATTATAGAGGGTGGGGGTGAAGAGTGAGAAGCCGTAGAGTTCGGCGGGCGGAGGGGGCCATCCTCATGTTTGGGTTATCTAGTGGAGCGAGGACTGACCTTTAGCCAGCGGGCTGGAGCGTGCCAAGAGTTGGGTTTATCCAGCCTGACTTAGATATTTCCCCTGCAGGTAGGTCCCCTGCAGTCCCACAGGGTTAAACTAGAATCTCATTGCTGTTAGAGGCTGTAAAAGGCTGTGTCAGTAAAAGCAGCTTTAACGTGTACGAGGACTAATGGTTAAAGGGATCATGATTTTTTAAGGCTTTGGGGCCGCGGGAATGTTAGTCTGTTTCGAGGACTGGGGTCAGAAACCACAGGTTTCGGGGGAATCTCAGTCCCTAGGAATTTAAAGACAGTAATGTTTTCCGAAGCCTAGGAAATGATTTGATAATGTATTGAAGATTCATTCCTAAATATTGTTGCTGATCTCAATTTTCCGTATTAGACAAAGAAAAAAGATCCCGTTGGTTCCAGAAAATCTCCTGAAAAAGCGGAAGGCTTATCAGGCCCTCAAGGCCACCCAGGCAAAGCAGGCGCTTTTGGAAAAGAAGGAGGTAATGGTGGGAAACCAGGAAGAAGTTATTAGAATTTGTATTTGATGAGTTTTATCTAGCACGGTTGAACTAGATTTGGTATTGACAGTTCCTTCCTCCATTGGTTCGATTGTATCAGGTGTATGGTTTATCAAACACTTTCCACTACTCTGGTAAAATACCAGAGTAGTTAAGGAAAAAGTGGGATGGAGATTGTACCTTCAGGTTGATACCAAGGGATTTGAGAGACCAGACGTGCTTGTGTACCTGGAAGAAAACATTTTTTAAATATGCCAGTTTTGCTATTTGCTAAATGTTTTTGGATAAATATATATTTTGGAGGCAAGAAACAAAACAAGCTCATACTTGTTTTTTACTTTATGATGCTTAAGTGTTAGGTTCCATAAATGCTGGTTGGTGAACATTGGCTAACAGCATGTGAACTAATCGCTCTGTTTATCAAGAACTTTTTCCCTTACTTCTCACATTTTCTCAACTACACTTTTACTTGGGTATCTCATTTTCTCCTTATATAAAAATAAAGGAGTCTGTTTGTTCCCTTCTGTGGCACATGGGAAATAAGCTCTATTAATAGCAACTAATGAATTATTATTGTGGAAGTAAAGATGACTAGAGACACAAAATGGTGATGATGGTCTGTTTGCCTTCTCTGTAGCAGAGGAAGGGAAAGGAGCTCAAGTTTAAGCGATTGGAATGGTTCCTACACGATGCCTGGCGGCAACAACGTGATAAAGTGCGCCTCAGACGACTAGAAGTGAAGCCTCATGGTCTGGAAATGCCAGATGAACATTCCTTGGCCTTCGTTGTACGCATCCAAAGGTAGGTAACTTGCCAGATTACGTGATACTGGAGTAAACTATTGATTCAGCTTTAGACCCCTTTCTAGGGAGATAAGATAATAGGTCTTTAGCCACTAAGGCAGGTTGTGCTAGGACAGAGTCGAGTACAACATAGGTCTTTTTCTTCAAGGTTGAGGAGACTGACCTTGGGCAAATAGACATGAAAGTACACTAAGTGCTATGAGGGTTGAATGCTGGATTGGAGAGGGGGTGCAGTGTGTGTACTGGTTGAGGAATTTGAAGCTGAGGCCTGCAAACTTGTAAAGAGTTCAGTGTTAGGGGAAGGCTTTTCAGCATAGATGCCAAAAGTCCTGAAGTGGGGTAATTGAGGTATCTTTCGAGAAACTGAACCAAGGTCAAGTAGGTGGAGCATATTCAGTGCTAGGGAGAGTGCATAAAGCTTTTTACTCATGTAGTGGTATCTTCTGTACCCATTCCTACCTACCTGCACATGCAACTCTGCCTCTTCCTAGTCCCCCTACCCAGGCACCCAAACCAGAAACCTGTAGGCTTTATGTATTTTTGAGCCCTCTTTATTGACTTTCCTACTGCTGCTCATAGTCTCTTTCCTGGACTGTCTCATTAGTTTTCTAAATGGGTTTCCCTGCCTCTGATGTCATATTCTCGGATCTGTTCTCAGTGACTATCCAAAAGAAATCCAATTGTCTCCTTTACTTCAAAATTTCCCTAGCTTTCACTTCCCACAGAAGCAAGTACAGCTTCCTTAACTTGATATACATAGCCCTACACGGCCACCCCACACTTGTGCACTGCAAATTCAGGGACCATCTCTCTGTTCCCATAGCACCTCAGGCATTGCTCCAAATCATGTGGAAATGATTTGCTTGCATAGCTGCCTCTTGCTCAGCTGAACTCTGTAAGGCACAGTCTGTCTTATTCTCTGGATGCCCAGTAGTGGCACACATTTATAGGTGCTTGTTGGACTGACATACACTAATTGAGCCTGACGTCCTCTGCTGTTTATTTCAGGATTAATGGAGTGAGTTTAATGGTGAAGAAGACCATTGCAAAGCTTCGCCTGAAGAAGATTTTCAGTGGTGTTTTTGTCAAAGTGACCCCCCACACTATAAAAATGCTGCGTGTAGTGGAACCTTATGTGACCTGGGGGTGAGTAAAGTTGTTTTGTGTGTGTAAATGCGCATCGGATTGTATTTGAACATATTGAGAACATCAGGATGCACAGGGTACTGTTCACCAAGAGTCGTGTTGCTGTGTTGAAAGAACATTTAAGTAAAGGGTCACCTAAAGCCAAAGTCCTAGACTGTAAGCCAAGACATGTTTTATTTTTGCCTGGGAAATAAATGTTTTGCCTGTTGAACATTTATATCCATAAATTTAATTTCTAATCATGTTAGTCAGGGACACTGGTTTTTTACCTCCTCACTGTGTATTCCCAAGCATCCCAACTGCCATGTGAGTGCAGGACATTTCCTGGTGAGTGCTAGGAGTAGTTGGGAGAGTCTTCAGCCAGGCCACAGGAATGAGTAGCCAGTGTATCGCCATGTGCCAGGGGATGGCTAAGCTGTATTTTATAATGCATCACATAGATTTCCAAATCTGAAGTCTGTCCGGGAACTCATCTTGAAACGTGGACAAGCCAAGGTCAAGAATAAAATTATCCCTTTGACAGACAACACAGTGATTGAAGAGCACCTGGGTGAGTGTTGCATCATAGGGGTCAATTTTAGCAGAAAGCAAGGATCTTTGGTGGTCTTGTTGTGGGAGGGTCCCAAGAGCCTCCTAGCTCTGGCATAGGAGAGCCTCATAGTACATGTTGCAGAAATATTAAATAAAGAAAACTGTTCCTTTATGTTTCCTAGGGAAATTTGGTGTCATTTGCTTGGAAGACCTAATTCATGAAATTGCCTTCCCGGGCAAGAATTTTCAGGCGATCTCAGGGTTCTTGTGCCCTTTCCATCTCTCAGTGGCCCGTCATGCTACCAAGAATAGAGTGGGCTTCCTTAAGGAGATGGGCTTACCTGGCTATCGAGGTGAACGCATCAATCAGCTCATACGGCAGCTGAACTAAACCCAGGTAAGACAGGGCTGCAAACTTACCTTGGGCTGACTTTTTATAGGCTATGCCTTGCCACTTAAAAATTCTTTTTGCATTTATCAGTATTTGAGAGTAACTTTGGCATTGAGGGTGGAGAGGAGCCTGGTATTTACACATCTAAAGGATGGAGATGTCCTTGGAAGAGTGAATGCCTGGTTAGAACATGGGGCTATGTGTATTCAAGAGTTACAGGCTAGAAAATGTTGAGTGACAACAACAACAACAACAATCTATTGCTATGATTATTTAGCTGGAAATGGGGAGAGAATAACACTGAAAACTAATTTCAAAAGGATTTCAAGATCAAAACCATTTATTTCGTTGAAGGAATCTTAACTCTTTGAAATTGCTCTTTATTGTTACTTTTAGGTGCCAAGTCAGTAAATTTGTATTAACGAAATTGTTTTTCCTCCCAGGATATCTAAAAGCACAATGCATTGGAAGCATGTGTTTTCGTTTTTTGGAATTATTATCCAGTATCTTCAAAGAAGATTATTTTCTGCTATAGCCTCAGAAACTGGAGGGGGAAGTCAGGGAAAATATAGTGATGTTCCTTGCAGGCCCTTCTCATCAAAGCCCAATTTCAAAGGAAAAGTCCCAGTGTTTTCCACGTTGGCTGCTGCTGCCACCTCTGAAATCGACAAAGGACTCATGCCACAGAGAAAGGGTCCTGCTTCATCACATCTGTCCAGGGGTTTAGTGTTGATGAATGGATACCCAAACATGAATGCAAGATGGCAGTGGGCTAGGACTACGGGCATACTTGAACCTGGGTGTTTCCAAGGCCTTGTTTTGTAAAGAACTTTAAATACAGTTAGAAGAGCACAAAAACTGCTCAGTTGTCTCTGCTGTGAATCCATGTTCTAACTTTTCAGTGACATGCGTTTTGCAAGCTCTCAGGCTTGGCTGGCTCTAAGTATATCCAGTGGCTTCTTTATCTCATCCTGCAGTGGGCTTCATCCTTTTCCGGATTTTAACCTATTCTTGGATCTGTGAGAAGGGAAGAACCCTTACCCCAGGAAAACATGCATAAACTCAAAGTTTTGCTTGGAAATTTAGACTGTTTGTAGACTATTCTCAGGGACCATGCACCTTATGTGAGGAAGTCCTGTACTGTCCAAATTGGTTACCCAGGCCTTGACCTTGCTAATCTGCTTCCATGTCCTATGGAAAACCAGAGCTTTCTAAAATAGCTTTTTCTGTTCAAACCAGAGTGTTTCCTATTAAGAACATAGTGCTAGAGTTTGAGCCCCTGTGCCATCTTTAACTCGGAAATACTCACCATTTATTTCTGCTGGGCTTCAGGATGGAATTTTCTAGTTTCCCTGGTGATCAGTCTTCTACGTAAAAAACCCAAATCAGGGAAGACTAAACCCTTTTCTTGGTTTAGCATGGATGGAATTAACACTATTTGGCCTTTTAGGCCTTAGACAAGCTTAGTTGGAGCCTTTCCTTGTATATTCTAGGCTCTGGGCTCCTGCCAAAGTATCGCTCTCTACCCTGATGGTAACGATGTAGTACAGCCGTCCCCAGCCTTTTTTGGTTGGGGACCGGTGCTCCTATGAGAATCTAATGCCTAATCTGAGGTGGAGCTGAGGGTGTGATGCCAGCACTGGGGAGCAGCTGCAAATACAGATGAAGCTTCGCTTGCTCGCCTCCTGCTGTGCGGCCCAGTTCCTAATAGGCCAGGGACTGTTACCCGACCATGGCCTTGGGATTGGGGACCCCTGATGTAGTAGACCAACACTAGGGCTCTTGGGGACGTTAATTGTGAAAAGGCCGTGGTCCTGCTTGTGTTCATCTGTCCGCCCGAGTCTGCACCATTCATATCACTCAGTTGCCTTAACCTGCTATCTAAGCAGTTGGTGAGGGTATGCCAGGCCCACGTGAAGACTTGGAAATGTTTAGCCATTGTGTCCTTCGGTCCCTTAAGATCAGCTTTGCTGCCCTATTGGCTCATGGGGCCCTCAGACATACCTGTGAGATTGTTAGTATAACAATGTCTTAGAATGTGCCAGGTTGTGAGGTAATTAATTGAGTTGATTGGCTCAAGAGTTAACTTGCCAGGAATAGGTGTTACTTAATACTGTAAAGCATTGTGAAATCGGATTAAAGTGATATATCAAAAGTCATGGGAATGTTTCCACTCTTGCCTGTAAAATAGGGCTGATGTAGTCTAGCCTGTCTTCCTCCCATGGTGGTTAAAAGAAGCAAAATAATAGTTTTTAATTTAAAAGTCTGTATAAGAGGTTATAAAAATTACACACTTCTATGTCATGTACCATGGCATACCATCCTGAACAAGTGGGACTATCCTTATTTCTGAGAAAAAGTAGGCCTATTACATAATCTAAATTCGTGTATACATGATATGTCTAGGTG